GGTGAACTAGTTGCTCATCCCAGACACTAAATCGTTAACATGGATTTTTTTGGCCCGTTTTCAGCGTGGTTTCATTTTTTTTTTTTCTTTTAAAGCAGGGTGCTCCTTGAATCCCTAGCTCAAGTGATTTCGGTTTGGGACTCATTGATCCATCGTTTCATTTTGCAAGTTTGTGCATTGGAATAAGAAGTGATTTTTTTTTTTTTTATTAAAGATGGAAATAATAATAAATGAATAAAATAGATTCTTTTTTTATGAACAATGAATAAAATAGGTTCTAACTTCTAAGAGCTTCATTGATTTCTTAGCACATATATGATGTTTGATTGTATTATTTTTGAGCATACAAAATAAGCAAGGGTTATAGAGTAATTAATTTAATTAATAGTAAAAAAATACTTTTTTATATGTATAACTAAATTTCAAACTCTTATTCTCTTCTTCGCCCTCTTCCTCTTAAAGCTTTCAACAAAGTGACTTGGCTCATAAAATAAAAAAAAATTAACAGTAGGTGAGATTACTACCTATATGATTCTAACAGATTGAGATTATTGTCACTCATGATTTTGTTAAGTTCACGTATTTTAACTATAATTTTTTTAATTTATAGCTTTTTTACAATTAATTATAATATTTGTAAATAATTATTTATAAGTTAATGTTAATTTGTTAAATAATGAATATTAATTATTTTATAAATTATTGATTATTTTTAATAATTAAATTAAAATAAAAATTTAACAATTGCAGTAATTTTAACAAATTTAAGGGTAACCATAATTAAAGCCCTCTAAAATATTTCACTTTTAGATTCTTATATTTTCAATAGAAATCATTGAATCAGGGAGAAATCTTCAGTATAAGAAATATGGTTTTAAAATCAAATCCGACCCAATCGGTTGAAGAAAAATTTGGTAAAACTCGGCTAGCATGGTCAGTCTGGTGAACTAGTTGCTCATCCGAGACAATTTTAAAATCTTTCCTTGTTTTGAAAAATGCTATAACTATATAATACTTGTAATATTATAAATTTATAATATAATATATTATTATATATTTAACTTGCTTAGTATCTATTTATTATATTATATGTATTTATTTATTTAATAATATATGATATTTATTTAATATCATACTATAATTATAAATTTATAATTTTATGTCATATTATAATTATAATATTATTGTTTAATATTTTACTTTTTTTTAGACTTTTTATTTTTTTTATTATTATTTTTTTCTCACTTGCTAGCCAGAGAGTGTAAAAGGTCCGTAAGGGACAAGTAAATTAGTCACACCAATGTTGATAAAATATTGAGGGTATTTACATAAGTTAAAATAGAATTAGTGGTCCCCTCTGGAGGCTGACGTGGCCGTCAAAGGAGATGATGCGGAAATGACATGCCGACCAATAATGTCACTCTCCGCGTACAAACCGCGTTGGCGCATACGTATGTCATCGCCACTCCCTATTATTGCAATAAATTAAATAAATAAATAAATTCTTTTTTATATTGAAAATATTCTTAAACAACCTTTTCCGTTTAGGGATTGAGAAATGTATCGTATTAATTAAAATGTTAAAATTAATAATAATAAAAAATTAAAATATTTTTAATAAAGTAATAAATAAAAATTTATTTAAAATATTTAAATAAATTTTTAAAAATTTTTTACATTTATAATGAATTGTTTCCAATTTAAACTAATTAATTTTATTCAAATTTAAACTAATTTTATTATAATATTTAT